CACACAAACAGCGACAGTCTTGCTACCTACAGATCTAGCCTCACAACTACTGAAGAATGACTAAAGTAAAATAAAGATAGGATGGGTCAACTGCCAGATACGCGAGAAGCAACAAGTAAAAAGATGCTTCAAATGCCTAGATTTTGGACACATATCCACCAAGTGCCCGAGCCCTGGCCTTAGAAATACATGCTACAAGTGCGGAGAAACAGGGCATCAGATAAAAGACTGCAGCAAGACACCCAAATGTGTCATATGCAAGGATAAAAATCTAAATGATGGCTCCTCATTCAACGCCGAAATAAACAAGCAAAATAAGCGACAAAATAAGGTTCCTACAAGTTAACCTAGGAAGGAGCAAAATCGCACAAGATCTACTTGTACAAGTTTCAACTGAAAGGAACATGGACTTGTTGATTGTTAGCGAACCACCGACAACCGACAAAAACACCTGGTACGACATGTGGTATCAGGATGTTACTGGAAGAGCCGGCATAATAATACATAATAAGACGGTGAATATCAGGAACCACAAGAGAACGAAATACGAGTTTGTATGGCTGGAAGTGGGTTATATGATAATTTATAGCTGCTATTTTTCACCGAATGATACGCTAGAAAAATTTCAGAAAGATATCGATGAGCCGGAGTCTTGCTTGAAAACGTCTAAGCGCGAAGTATTAGTGGCAGGCGATTCAACGGTAAGTCGTCCGAATGGGGAGTGACGCGCTCCGATAAAAGTGGAACTATTATATGTGAATTCATTGCAAGAAATTATCTGATCATCTTAAATAGTGGGGATGAGTACACCTTTCAACGTAGAGCCGCATCATCCATTTTGGATTTGACAATAAGCTTCACTAAGCTAGCTAAAGGCATCACTGATTGGTCAGTGCTCGACGAAGAAACCCTGAGTGACCATCGGTACATAGGATATTCAACTCCATTAACGGAGGGGCTGCAACATGTTAAAACGCGATATAAAGGAAGACCACCTTGGAATCCCAAAAAACTGAATGAAGACAAGGCAAAACGCTCCTTGGAAGAATCCAGGTTGCTGGTTAACATGGGTTGGACGAATGAGGCGGAAACGCTTGAGGATAAGGTCAAGGCAACGGAGGAAATAGTAGTAGCAGCTTGCAACGTATCCATGCCTAGACGTATATGTCCGAAGAGAAAACAGCAAATGTATTGGCGGACACCAGAAATAGCCGAACTACGAAGGAACTGTAACAAGGCAAGAAGGATAGCGTCAAGGGCCAAGACGAATCTGCACCTCATGGAACAGTACAAACTGTACAAACGGCTTAAGAGAGAAATAAAAAGAAGTAAAGGCAGATGCTGGAAAGAGCTCTTAGAACAGATAGATAACGACCCATGGGGCATAGCTTACAAAATAGTAAATAAGAAATTCAGGACTGGAAGATACCTGGATCGAATGACCCACAATGCATGAGGAAAGCTATTAGGGACCTCTTTCCTCCTAGAGATCCTTGGACGAGACTAAGACAGAGCGACTTCACGGTTGACACAGCAGATAAACTGAGGAGAGCGGCAAAAAGCATGAAAACTGGGAATGCCCCAGGTTTTAATGGAATTTCCTGTGAAACACTAAAAATAGTGGCACAGGAGTATCCGGAATGCCATTCGTCAATCTATAACCGCTGCCTTGAGGATGGGATATTCTTCAAGACGTGGAAGTAACAAAAGCTTATACTCCTCCGAAAGGGCAACAAGCCTGTAGATCAGGCGTCATCATACAGACCACTGTGCCTCCTTGACACCATGGGCAAGCTGCTAGAGGGACTCATATGCTTTTCAGAGGAAGTAGAGCATCTACTACCAGCCAATCTCCTGCGTGAAGTAATGTCTCCCGATGGTTTCCGCGTGGGAGAGAATATGGTTTAAGAGACGGAGGTTAGGTTTTTAGTCGGTAACCTAGTTGGGAGTCCGACATCACCAGCCTCACTGGTATCCATAAAGGATTTTCCTCCTCCTTAAAATAATAATAATAATAATAATAATAATAATAATAATAATAATAATAATAATAATAATAATATACAAATTATTGTATTTTTTATTTGTTTTAAAAAACATATGTTGGTAATTATTAGAAAATAGCATTACAAATAGTGAAATGAGTATTCCTCAATCACTATTGAGGCATTCTTGGTCTGTCCACCACTTCTTCGGTCTTCCTGGTTTTCTTCTTCCCCATGGCTTGTATCTCATAGTTATTTTTTGGATATCAATATTTGGGATTTCATACTTTTTGTTTTTATGCCATTTTATTTGGTGCTTCTCTATTTCTTGGACAATGTTCTTTAAGTCTTTTTCTTACGTATTTATTCCTTATCTATATTTCTCTGAGATCTTTAATACTGCTCTAAAGTATCTCGTTTGGGCTGCTTCAATCCTTACTTGTTTCTGTTTTAATACCACATAGTTTCACTCATATAATAGGATTGGTTTGGACACAATGTTATACAGTCTAATTTTTTCTGTATGAAACTGGCTTTTGATGCATCCATTAATTTTGTTGTATTTTACCAATTTTGTATCTAAGTCTTCCTCTTGTAATGAAATTTTGTTTCCCAGGTATGTTAATGTTGCTACTTGTTCTATAATTTGATTATCTATTACTATTTTTATTCTGAAAAAATTAATTGTGCGCTTTCCTTGCAATGCCCCAGTATCTGCTGCAGTGTGACGATGAGAAAGCTCACGTTTCAGGTTGAGAAGATCAGAATACAGTGTAGGGATGGCTATGTGCTAACCACACGTACCCTTTAACCCATGGCCACAAGGCCGGGATGCTGCTGGTAGGCCTTAGCTCGTAAAGAGCTATTGTGCCAAAATACATACCTACATATATTTTTATTCTACTGTATACTATTATGCCCATTGCTTTAGTTTTTGTGGTTGATATTGTCATTTTGTAATCTTTTATGATAGAGTTTCATTTATATGCTGCTTCTTGTAAGTCACCCTCTGATTTTGCCAGGATTACCTGGTCATCTGCATATAATATGGTTTTCGTTTTTTTGGCATGTTTCATATTGATGCTTCCTTCGAATTCCTCCTTCCATATTTTGATTATATGAATCGTGTATAAGTTAGTCGTGTAATAGTGGTGATAGCATGCAACCCTGTTGTAGTTGAATTTTTGTCAGGATTGCTTCTATGCAGTTCCCATCAATATTCTGGATTTTGATTTTTGATTTCTTATAAAGCTTTTTATTGCTTTTAATAGATGTTACTCTATGTTTTCATCTTTGAACACTTTCCACAGCATCTTCCAATTTAGTCTATCAGAAGCTCTTTCATAGTCTATGAATAGTAGGTATGTTGGTAGGTTTTGTTCACTTCTTTTGCATATTATCTGGTGAAAAGTGAAAACTGCATCAATGTTGTTTCTCACTTTCCTGAAATCACAATTGCTCTTCTATAATAGTTTCACTATATTCTGTGAGCATGTTTTTCAGGATGCATGCATAAGACTTTTACGCTGCGGCATGCTATTTCTCTATTGTTTTCACACTTATTAATCCACATACTTTCACACTTGTTAATCTACTTAAGAAATAATGGGTATAGTGGTACAGATAAGTAAAATAAGAGAGAACTGAATACCAAAGAACTGTTCACTACTAAGCAAGACTGAAGTGTTGAAGGAGGAAAGGGATAGTATTCATTCTGCCATAGATAACTGAATATTTCTCTGTAAGTGAAATGATAATTCTGAAGTATACATAGCATCAAATATCCATGGGGTAAATCCAATAACTAATGTGAAAAGATAAGGCCAAAAAACACCCCACACACATTCAAGTACCTCACCCATTCCTCAGCCAATCACCCATCTGAATTTTCATAGAGAACTACCGGAGATATATTTCAAAATGTATTCTCGGCCACTGAAAGAAACAGGCTAAATACCTACACTAATAAGAATAAATGACATACATTTTGATTGTCAGGATCATTAGATACAAAAAGTTCCAGATGAGAAAAGAAGATGTGCAGGTTCCAACTGCAGCACTAAAGCTTGAACACAATGCAGAAAATGTGGTTTGTATGAGGACTGTTTCATTGGGAATTTCCCTGGTATTTTCTTGTCAATTTGAATTAATATTAGTATTTTTAACTCAAATAAATATATTGTTTCAATTTCATGAATAAAAAATGTATGTAAATACCTATATATTTTAGTCTCATTAGTGCCTAGTGTACCATTTATGGTAGAATGCATATCTACTTACTGACAGGTCATACATTTCTTTTTATCATATTAAAACATTTCATTAGATAAATATGATCAAGTTCAATGTGTAAAACAGTGTAAAATCAAGAAAAAATATTTCTGGGCATTAGTTGGTTAATAGAGTTCTGGGAAAGATGTCACTATAATAGTGTTACCAGTTGCCCTTAATTAGCAGGACAAGCCCTGATTTTAATACATATCATCTATTTACTGTTTAATGTAATTTTAATATTTTTAATTATCAAATATACAAAAAATAAAATTGTATTCTAGAAAAATGTGATATCAGGAGAGTAACTCAAGAGTTTCTAACTGTAAGAACAATAAGTAAGTCTTATTCTTATATTTGTACTGGGAATATTGAAACAGAAATAGGACGAATTCTTAATAATTTACCGTAAAGTGCAGTATTAACATATAAATTGATATCTCTTCTGTAATAGTATAAGATCTTTTAATCTGTATGTCATTATAAAAAAGTCTTGATGTTTTGTGTATTGTCCTGATTTTTTTAACTAGGTCTCTGGTAATCCTTCTTTATAAGGCTCAGTGAAATTGCTTGATTCTCAGAAGATTATCTTCACACTGAAGTTCTAATTGTGCTCTATAACAGTCATTTGTCAAAGGTTAAATCATAAGTTCCAAATCTAATTCATCTAAGTATGCAAATTATAAATTAGTTTTAATCAAACATGAGTAATTACAAAAAGAAAACACTTGGTTCTACAAATTTGAAAAACATTGTAATCAAATAATGAGATGTTAATTGATTGTTCCAGACTTTCATTTCCCTGAAATGTTTGTCTTATTATTACAGGAGAGGGTCAGAAAGGTGATTAGGACTCAACGTCTTATCTTACTACAGTAAAAATTGCCTTTTGTAATAAAAATAACCAGGTCTTATTGGATAATTAATTGACATTATTATAAAATAAAAACAGTTAAATATTACTTTATTGGTAAAAGTACATTATTGGTACGGATCATACAGTAAACATAAAACAATTTTAAAAAGATAATATTTAATAAACTATTGTAAAATTTAACAAAGCTTAAGAAAGTTCAATTTTTCTTGATAGGAAAATGAATTATCAGTAAAAACAATTAATTAAACTTGGGATACAAAGATTTTTTCTTGATTCCATATGGGAAAGAAAATAATCACTGTACTAATATTAATCTGTTGTGATCTTCGATTTTCTATTGACAACTGGATCAAACCATTGCAACCAGTGACATCTGCTATTATTAAATGTCTGTATCTGCTATTATTAATTGATCCATTATATAATGTTCGTACATGGAGATAAAATTATTCTCCATTTAACCAAGATTCTCATTTCTAAGTTTTAATTATGAAAATGAATTTATAACATTTTCATTAGTGAACTTCATGATGTAGATAGGTAATGGACAAGTCGCTGGGTCTTTGCCAAATGCGTAAATAAATAACACAGAATATGTCCATGAATGGGTCTCTTAAGCATTCCCAACCCTCTTAACCACATCCAACATTTTTTTTATTTTTGGAATAATTATCTGATGTCTAATTGCAGTAATAGCAGCAAATAATCTTAATTAAATATTCAGTTGATTTATAATGTGTCATTAAATTTTTTATCATAGAAAACCTTCAAAATCTCTCTGAATATGAACTTCTCCATTATTGGGGTTCAATAGGATATCTCATTTGGTGGCTCTGATTTTCAAGGTGTATTGCCACCCTAGCTAAGCCCCTGGAAAGGCTGCATCCTCAAATATATGTAATAAAAAGAATGAATTCATTTAACTCAGATACAGAAGCAAAAGTCTGCTGATGAGCATAAAAAAAATGTGATTCCTTCTATTCAGTAACATACAGGCCAGTACAAATTCATCTATTGCTGAAATTTTCTTCAAATTTTAATATATTATGCAAGAAAAAAATACTTCATTCATTTGATGAATCGGAATGTCACACATGCATGTGGATCTCTCTCTAATAAATATTTATCATCACATACATCAAAACATATAATTTTGTTAATTACATAATCGATTTGTAGTGTTCACTACAAATACAACAGAAAACTATAACAATGACCATTTTATATTCTGAACTTTATAACGAAGAATAAACTGTTTCTTATAACATTCACAATTAATGCATAAAACTGCATCACTAAATATTATATTGGTATTGTTTTTGCTCATCTTATCCACTAGGATAAGATTCTAAAAGTTAGAGATAAATTTTGTATGACTGGCTTACACATCCATTGGAACAAAAACTAACAATAAATTATATTAAATGCCCCAAAATAAGGTCAAAGTAATTAGACTGACCAATATTAGTCCAATTCCTTGTGGTAGGGTAAATATTAGTTTGATATTGACTCAACATTGAAAAAGCAATTACGAAGCTCCTCAAATATAATGAAAAACAAAAATGTATTCTATCAAGAAAAACACAGATTAGACCCCGTAATATGCCATAGGCATCCAACAACAAAAATTACTAGCAGACTCTTACCTAGATAAAAAAGGAATAGAAATTTCAAAGAAATATTTTCATCTGCATTTGCCATACCTGTACAAATAAATATCAGGTAATAACTAGTTGTTTCACGTTCACAGTTTGTAACAATGAAACCCTTTAGAAATGATACATTCTTATATTGTTATATATTATGCTAATATCATTTAAAATTCAGCAATGGTATGGTACCTATTTAATTACTTTGGATACCCATGTTCAAATAAATGTAACACAATAATATGATATGAAAGCCATCTATTACAGTTTTAAGAAGCATTATAAAGTGTGGACCTATGAAATATTATTGTAATGAAGATGCTATTATTCTTGTAATGAAGATCACAATAAGGTGTATTTTATAAACAAACACGATCTACAATTTTGTATTCTTTTTTGTGATGCCTACTAATCAATAAGCACATTCCTCAAGTACCTTTTAATACAATATGTCAAGTAGTATAGGCACATTTCTAAATTACATGAATAATTTACTATTATCATGATCAATCATGAATAATTAACTTTATCTTTATATGTTTCTCTGTAACACTTATTTTTATATTCAGCCAGAAAATTCATCATTTGATAAGAATTAACTTCATACAGTTCTCTGAAAACAGAATGTAATCTTTCTATACCAGCTGCATCTGCCAGTTCATCATTATAATCCCATTGCAGTTGTGCCATTTTGTGAGCATACCTGTGAACAGTAGAGTACATGCAAATATATGTTCATAAAATTTACTTAGCGCTAAGAAATATCAACAGTACAGAACAATTAAACAGGCAGAGATAATTGCACAATAGCAACAAACGTTTAATAACTGCCTGTATTTCTCTAGATTTCTGTAGATTTTATTCTTCATATCACTTATTATGCAATTGCTCGGTATAGAGATTCAATTTCATCTCCTAACTTCCATTTTGACTCACCAGAATAACTTCTATAAATAGATGATCGATTTGTTGCTTCTGAAGTAGTAACTGATAATGAATAGTACAGAAATATTAAGTCCCATTGGCATAGTTTCCCAATGTTTTAGTAAATAATGTATAAATGATATTTGTATTATAACTTACTGCTGTTCGCATATATGGTCATTAAACAGCTACAAATTTTGGATTTTGTAGCTCAGTTTGAATCGGCATCTGTCTATCACACAGTCTCAAGCTCAATACCTGGTGAGATCAAGTATTGCACTTTGAAACTCACGATTTCCTTATGTTTTAAATAAAACTGGAATCTCGATCTTGTCTCTTCACTATTCATATTCAAATAAACTTCTTTGAATGATCCTTCAAATCATTCAAGGTACTAATAATGCTGCAGTGTATTGATACTCAACATTTTGGTATAGTGTTCTGGTGGATGAAATTGTGATTTCATTTCTAAGTAGTGTATATTATGGAATATTTCATTTTGAAAATGTGTAAAAAGTACAAACAAAAAGTTATACTACTTGTTGTAGAAAAACATAAATTAAAGAAAACAACTAGATAATTCTTCTCTCTCCAAATACAAAGATTAAAACATTTGCGTTCACAACACATAAACACAACATACTTCATGCATCGATGCATGCATTTTGTACACGATTAATGACATTCGATTTTAGACAGTGGAGAGGATATGGTGAGTCAAGGGTAAAGAAAATTCGACCAATTATTGTGACTGAGAACATTGACAGAAAAAAAATAACAGAATTAATAGGAACTGTGCAAGACATGTGAGAAAAAGTTAATTGAAAAATACTTAGAAATAGATTAAAAGTTAAGAACTGACAAGAAAAATCAAATTTACTTAGTTGAAATGCGACTTTCACGTCGATGACGCATTTCTTACCTTGGTGGAAAGCCAAGATCCAGTCTTTTTTGAAAATCTCTCCTTTCATCTTCATACATTTCTTCTGTGCTTGGTAATATGGAGGGATCCACGAGAGATTTCAAGAAGAACGCAACTTGACAATGGAACAAGGGAAACGGAAGTACTATGAAGGGAATGCCGATGAATCCTAGAGATGGCATCTCTATATTGACAATATGCTTGTACAGTGGCCTCACCCTCCTCCCCCTCACAAACACCCCGCACTGCGGACTCAAGAACGGGAACGTGTAGCGGTAGCCTGTGCAGAAGACGATGGCGTCGGCGTGGACGGCGGAGCCGTCTTCGAGGACGAAGCCGGTAGGGGTAGCCTCAGCGATGGCAGACAACTGCAGCACGTTAGCGGGCAGCTCGCTGCGCAGCGGGGCGCCGCGATGGCACAGCAGCACCTCCCGCGCATGCCGTGCCAGGTCGAGGGCGATGTCGCGTCCCGATGCCGCGGCACCGAGTAGCACCACGCGCTGGCCCGCGAAATCCTGTGGCCGCCGGTAGTCGTGGCTGTGCAGCACGGCGCCTTCGAAGCTCTCCAGCCCCGCCACGTCGGGCCAGAACGGCGTCGAGTAGTGGCCGTTGCACACCAGCACCGCATCGAATTCTTGCGTCTCCTCCGATCGGCTTTCGCCGGAGTACACCGTCACCGCCCACGTGCGCGAGCTGGGCCCGCCCGCCGGCCGCACTGCCTTCACCACGGTGCGGAAGCTCACGTGCTTTTTTAAATCGAAATGCTCGGCGTAGTCTTCGAGATATTTTAGGACAACATCGTGTTTCGGATACGAAGTTCCTTTTGCTTCCGGAAACGGAAAGTCCGGGAAGCCCATGATTTCCTGCAGAATGTTGGTTCGCAGGTTCTCGTACATGCTGGAGTGCACGCGCAGGCCGTTGCAATCCGTACCGATGTCCTCCGTGTACACCCAGGTACCGCCCACTCCGTCCGCTTGCTCGTATACGCGGAAGGTGAAAACGTCGGGTCGGGCGGCGAGCTGTCGCGCGGCGCACAGCCCGGCCGCCCCCGCGCCCACCACGCACACCGCCACACGTCGCGCCATGCTCCCGTCGGCACCCGAATGTGCCCGCAGGCCGCGCCGCCCACAGCCGCAGCTCGCTTGCGCCGCCCCCGCCCGACCTCTCCCCCGCGCACTCACCTGCGCCCTCGCGTAGCGCGGCCTTATCTCGCCTATCGGTTAGTCAACACATTCTACGTCTATCAAAACGTGTTTGCTAGCAAAAATAAACCCTATTCGCTACGTTTCATTCGTGGAAGTTGAGAAGGGAAAAGTCCAAAGGTGTCTGGACGGCCTTGCGTCTATTTACATATTCTTTCAAAAACAAATGTTACCACAACAGTTCCTTACTCAATATTAGTGTGTTGACGATAATGCTATTTACAATATTATATTTTATTTTAAAGATTCTCCCGTAATGATAACCAACGGAAAAGTATAATAAACACAGAGGTCAAAAACGACAAAGTATTTCCCTACAACGGAAAGTTAAAAAAACTGGTCACCGGCGACTCTGCTTTTATTAACGTGTAACTGTAATCTCACCGATATTAGCACAGCAGGTTGTGAAAAAGTTCATCGGTTTCCGACTAAGATTGAGCAGGAAAATCTGTCCAAGTATGTTCAACGTGAATGAAATAGCTGTTAAAGATCGAGACACATCAGTGTGTGGCCGTGGTCGCGTGATTATGACAAATGAACCTCAAAATGCGAATCGCGCTCCGGCGGAAACGTTAGGAGACCGAGAATTGGCGCTTAATTCAAGTTGCATTTCGCCCATTAAATTTATGATGAACCACCGACACATATTCCTTATGTTTAACTGTAACTATAATAATGACAGGTTCATAATAAGATAATATCTGAATTTCTATATCAATATATTTTAATTTTAGGAGAGTTCTTTACACGAAACCTAGGCGATATTTCAATTTTCTCAAAACTTGCTCCAAACATAGTTAATGTTTTCTTTTCGAATAGCGCAAAGTACTTTTATAAAAATGCGGAAGGTCCGATTTTTATTGAAACCACTGAATTTGCTAAAATTCCACAAGTTTCTGTAAATCTGGAAAGTTTTATAATTTAAATGTTTCTTTCTTCGTATTATCTGTTAAGGGACAACTGTACAAATACCGTAATCCGACATGCTGTTAGGCTTGCGGTATTTGTTGTTGCTTCCTAAAATGTGAAAACCGGGGCTAATTCCTAAAAATAATGTGTCAGTGATATTATTAATATGGTATAAGTTGGAATTTCATTGAAATGTCTTAAATTTCGAACATAGCTAATTCGAATTTCTCGCCCTTCTTTTGCTGAGGAATTTTCCGCCAGAAGGCTGAAGAATAGCAAGATTACAGTTGCAATATTATAATATCGTACGAGAAAGTATGTGATGATATAGCACCACTATTATCTGTATTCTTTGTATATTACGGGATTGTGTGTGAAATGTTAACATTACCCAACCCACAGTTTTTCGCCGATAAAAGTGGATGCCGTGCCATTCGAAAGTGGTGCACAATTTCAATGCTTCTTTAAAATAGTTATACTATTTCTCACTAACAAATTTGGATTGAGGTATTACATTCCTGAGTAGTCCAATTTAAAAGAACGTGGCCGATTCTCAACAGACCTTACTCTCGTGAGTGAGTGTTGCGGGTGCATCAACTACTGAGATCAGTAATCCCATAAGTGTTGTGCACGTTATATCTCGGGAGGTGGCTGCGTTTCTGCCCTACTGGAACGTGAAATCTGATGTCGACCTACATGTCGTCTTGTGCCATCCTCCCTCCAGGCAGACCAGTAGTCAGGGTAGAGAGAAGGGGGTCACGAAAATCTTTCACCTCAGTCCCTCTGCAGGTTATTATAAATACTATTTTTCCTCAAATTAGCATCGTAGATTCTAGTATTATTGTTACAGTAATTAAAATATTTGTTAAACATATTATTGTTATTAATATAATTATTATTTTGCATAATTACGTGAAGCGATTAGCTGGTCTCGGATATCAACAGATACAGACTGAAATTCTCGAGACTCGTAAGTGTACTTTGTCTTATTTCGCATTCCTCACTGTCAAAATTACTTCGTCAGGCTGAGAAGCGTGGGTATGCTTGACATCGCAACGCTTGCAATGCCAGCTACTTATGGCACCTCTGGTTAAAACCAGAGGAAGAGAGTGACGACAGGGAGAGCTCTCACTTCCGAAGGTTGTAATGAAACAAGTTAATTTTCTCTCGGTGATCGCAAATTACAGTTAAAATTTGAAATGAGGCTTAGGGGCTGAAGTTCTTTATAAACACACAAACACGATGTAAAAAGTACTATTCTATAGACAGAAAACTAATGTTCCAACTTTTTAATCTTAAAATTCATTATTAGAACAGCGTTACATACATTTATACGCAGCATCTCCTAAACTCATTTTCCAAGAAAAATGTTGGGTGACCAGTTAGGAACCCCAGAATCTAACGGCGTCGAGCCCCTGACCGAAGGGATAAAAGGCACTGACGGACTGCGACGTGACGAGTCTTGGCAAATATATTAATTACTCGGTAACTCTAGGGAAAACGCTCAAACCCCAAAGAGACGCGTTGCGTCAACGGCGCAAACATTTTTTTAAAAAAGTTGTATTCTCATAAAGTCCCAGAGGATATGATTCTAAGAAAGAAATCTATTAAAAATATTTTCCTTGGCATTAGCGGGGGTCTAAATTGTAATTCTCCCAGAATACACGAAGATCTTTTTACATTTTTCTCGCGAGCACGATGAACAACCATACTACTACTCGTCTACTACTCGTTAGCTAGGGGTAGATCGACTATTGTCTAAAACGTATCGTTTATCTTTATCATTGATGCAGTAGACAATGAATTCCGCTTCTAATATGTTATTGTGGGAATTAAAAAATAGATACACATTTGTTTTTCTTTGAGTTGATTTATTTTGTAAAATTGAGAAAAAGGTAAAAACTAAATGCATCGTGTGAGAAAAAGAAAAAAGAAAAAAGAAAAAAAGAAAAAAAGAAAAAAGAAAAAAGAAAAAAGAAAAAAGAAAAAAGAAAAAAGAAAAAAGAAAAAAGAAAAAAGAAGAAATAAGAAAGAAAAACGAAAAAAGGAAAAAGAAAAAAAAGAAAAAAGGGAAAAAAGGGAAAAAAGGGAAAAAAGGGAAAAAAGGGAAAAAAGGGAAAAAAGGGAAAAAAGGGGAAAAAGGGAAAAAAGGGGGAAAAGGGAAAAAGGAAAAAAGGAAAAAAGGAAAAAAGGAAAAAAGGAAAAAGGAAAAAAGGAAAAAGGAAAAAAAGGGAAAAAAGGAAAAAAGGAAAAAAAGGAAAAAAAGGGAAAAAAGGAAAAAAGGGAAAAAAGGAAAAAAGGAAAAAAAGGGAAAAAAGGAAAAAAAGGGAAAAAAGGAAAAAAGGAAAAAAGGAAAAAAGGAAAAAAGGAAAAAAGGAAAAAAGGAAAAAAGGAAAAAAAGCGAAAAAAGGAAAAAAAGGAAAAAGGGGAAAAAAGGGAAAAAGGAAAAAGGAAAAAAGGAAAAAAGGAAAAAATGTAAAAAGGAAAAAAATGTAAAAAGGAAAAAAGGAAAAAAGGGGGAAAAGGAAAAAAGGAAAAAAGGGAAAAAAAGGAAAAAAGGGAAAAAGGGGAAAAAAGGAAAAAAGGAAAAAAAAGGAAAAAAGGAAAAAAGGAAAAAAGGAAAAAAGGAAAAAAGGAAAAAAGGAAAAAAGGAAAAAAAGGAAAATAAGGAAAAAAGGAAAAAAAGGGAAAAAGGGAAAAGGAAAAAGGAAGAGAAAATTTAGAAAATGTTTAGGCTTCATGTAAAGTACCCCCAAATTCAAAGTCTCCGTTTCAAACTCCCAGGGCCTTGAGTTCGAACATTTTGAAGGGGGAATATCAATTTTAGAGAAAATCGTCTGAACAGTTTAGGTGCTAACGTTGACCGCGGGCGGACGGACAGAAGGACGGACGGACAGGCGTTCTGGCGTCAATCGATTTTTCCGTACCCAAGGAACTTTGAAACATGGATTCTCATTATACAAAGAGTTCAAGGAAGTCATTTTATACTTACAGGAAGATCTATCCGCTTTTTCGTTACTAGGCTTACTAGGCCGGTAATTAGAGTTTTTCTGTTGAAAAATCGCCGTTTTCCGGTACACGATTACAATACGATACGGTGTAATAATGTGTAAACACCACTGAGGATAAAAAAATTCTCCTCGAAATATGATATTCATATCCTTCCCCAATATGATGATTTTATTTCATTAATATATGATAAAACATTATGTCCAAACTAGTATTGCGTTTTAGATTATTTCTACAAACTCATCTTTAATGTGAATATATATCACAAGATCTAGGTTGAAACTACGAAATTACTACCAGTCTTTCGCGCTACACAGATTCAACTCTTCCTATTAGTTATGAAAGTTACACATGTCTGACAACATTAATTTGCATTGTACAATTTTTAAAATTTCTTTCTTTAACGGCAAAAACAAGTAAAACTGATGTACTATGCGAATATATGCACGTTTTCGTATGCTCTGGAATCCATACCCCCAGATATTAAATATAATGTACCAAGTAGAATTATAAATACCGGAATTAGTATTGCAGACAACACAACAGAATGACATATTTCTTTTTATACCATAAAATATGAAAGTTCTATCAGATTGAGAAAATCAAGGAATTTTACAGGACAATCATTCAAATCTGGAGATTTCTTTCAAATTTTGATGGAACTATAACATCTACATGACTTCAAAATATCTCATTCGATTCCTTATTATATTCAGATATCGAGTTCTTTTCGTATGCATTTTCCATTAGAACTTCTCAACTTTCATACCTAAAATACGATTGATATTTTTTTAACTGTTGAGATATTTTTTTCCCAATTTTGTGTGTATATACTCAGATGATTTTTGGATCATATTATTTTCGCAAATAATATTTTTGAATTATTTTTATTTTCTTAAACTTATGTGCTGCGAAATCTACGATGAATACCTTAAAGGGACCCGAGAAAAAACCTACTATAAAACCCGAAATGGTTACGCCACTGAAAAGAAACAATGCGTGTTCTCTAACAGTTTGTGGAAGAAAACAACAGATAAGGAGTAAAACCATTTATTTTTCCACTTACAATTCAAAATGTATTTCAATCAATCGTAAACATGAACAGTGAAAATATATTTCCTTCTCATTTCACCAGTATTCTTTTCTTCAATCTCTATTTTTCCTTTTTACAGCTGTAGATCTTCTATATTAAAAGTAAATTGATTTTCACTTAATTCCAGCTTTTTCTTGTAAATTTCTTTGTGACAATAGTTCCTGAATGTAGGGAAATCCTTCATGTGTTCTGTGTTGATTTCATTTAATTCTCTGTACATAGGAGGAATTCTTTGAATTCCCAGTATGTCTGCAAGCGTGTTTTCATATTCCCATTGCAGAGGTCCCATTTTATGTGCATGTCTGAAATACAAAAAGATTATTAAATTCTTGCCGTCATCATGTGCAAAAATCATGCTTTTAGAACAGGGAGGTTAATAGTTTTAGTAATTTATTCACGGTGAGGTTCCCAAATTCAGAGTTTTACAATGAAATTTTCCAAAACTCTGCTGAAGCTCCAATAAATTAGTTCTGAATAAATCCAGAAAGATGATATGTCATATCTTGTGATGAATATGAAAAATAAACCGAGAAAAATAACAAAAATTAATGGTTGCACGAGTGGTGTTTGAGGTACGGATTTCCAATTCAATTTATTATGCGACTTATTTCTCTTTTCTTTTATTAAACCGTATTTTATAACATTTGTAGAAAATGAATTATTCAAGTCTATGGAAAAGTATAGTTTGATAATGAATGCGAGGTTCGTCTACCCGAAGGCAGGTTTGCTTCTCAAAGCCCCCGGTCCTTCGCTGACATCTTCCTGGTCGTATTTGTCCCAGGCCATTTGTCCCGTATACTGTTGGCTTCTGGGAGCTGCAGGAGCAGCATAGCCAGGTCAAGAACATCAAAACGCGGATTCGTGAGCACCAAAATGAGAATATTTTTTCATCCGATGCGTATTTTTCCTAGAATTCTAAAAAATGCATATTTAAAATGCTTTAATTGTTTTATTTTGTTACATCTTCTATTGAAGTTACTTTATTATCTTAAGAAATAAACGCATATCATTATTCGACATTTGACCTTAGAGTATGCATCAGTTTTAACTTAAGAATTTACTTTAACTTAATTTCCTGGCGTTTATTGTAGGACAGAGCGACTTAAGGCACGTGAGAATAATTCACACAGAGTATCAACTAGACAAATTATTTTTCTAAATAGAATTCGTGATTCTGCACACTTAACTACCCGTCCCATGGAATGGAGGTCCACAGAAGAGCTTAATTCTCAGAAATATAATAGAATGACTAAGAAGATCTCATTTTGTCGATTTAGGAAAGGAATTTAACTCTGGAATCCATTCCCCAGACCCCAAGGACCTTGAGTTGGACCGCGCACTTAATTTTACTGAATCTATAAAATGGGAATGCTTTTGATGTAATGAATATATAATCGTCTAAAGTCCCAGATATGACATTTCTAATGAATTTACAAAAGAAGATGTTTTGGTATAAGAAACGAAAATGGAATCTTAACGTGAGAAATAATATATGCTGCGATTTTTGTATTATACATATTTAAATGAAATTAAATAAATTTTGAATAATGTATCATCATTTATAATGATTCATTATTTAATTATTAAAAATAAAACAAAAATGTTTACTTATATTAATCAATAAATTGCATAAATGAAGGACTAAACTAAATGTAAAATTCTGTTGTCTCCACCCTGTCACCTTATCAAATAACGGGCAATATAGCAGACCTGTGAAACCGTTCTCAGTTGTTGTCTTGGAAGCTCAGTGGTTAGAGACTGCAGACATGTGAGCCCCGGACCATATCGTTATAGGCTCATTGCCCGATGAGAACCTATCCGACGGGAATTGCGAGATAAAAATAAGTGAAATCCGATCTGGCTAGAACAACGTAATCGCCGTGAAAGGTTCTTCCAAAATTGGAGAAAATTAATGTAATGACATAGAGAATACAAATAAAGGACGGTTCCGAGAGTGAAGAGTCATTCAATGGCAGAAGCGTCCACTCAGTCATTTTCAAAGTGCGAACATGATAGATAAAATTGTGATAAGAAAGCACTGAGTCTGGAAAATATCTGCAAAAATATGAATAATAAATTGTGCACAGCAAACAGTCTTAAGAAAAAAATACAAAGATTGGAATTTTGAATTCGCGCTGAGTGGGTATTAATTTCCCTGAACCTCTGAAATAACAAATCTCGCATAGCCAATAGCATATCGGATGTAATGAACCAAAAGTGTTGGTACCCAGAAGTTCACACTAACCGGAGTGACTGTAGTTTCAATCACAATTATCAAAATGCACAGAGATATAGTTCAGTGCATACTTATAATGAATATTTTAATTATCTCTACAAAGTTTTACAAGCTTCGAATTGTCACGACTCCGTCTTCCATGATATGCAGATAGTTGCCAATTTACGACAGTGTTCAAGTATACATGTATTATAATAGCAGGCAATGCTGGGGATAAGTGTGCAACCCATGGGATATTTAGCTCTGTCGTCCATGTAAACTTATCATTGAGGGTATATGTCTCATTAGTTGATCTGTGGCGGAGTTTGGTTCATTTACACAACACTTGTATATTTAGTATACCAGGAAATGTTTTTACTGGCGTGAAAAGAAAAACCAGTATCTCCTTGAAAAGTAGCATTACGTAAATATTTTTGTACAACAATTAAAATGAGCGAAAAAGTTTTAAGAGTTTTTAATATAAACCTGACAATCTCACTCGCTGTCGTAAAAAAAGTATTAATAATCCTCTACAATCGAACATACAAAGCATGCTTGGGGCAAAATAATCATCAAGCGACGAGGATCAAATCGTCACTACGAATGCGATCTTTATTGTCATTAAACTAGTATAATAAGTTGCCCAAAACGAGGGAAATATTATGGAAATGGCCATTTTTGTAAAAAATGTCACTCATTACTATCTTAAAGCAGATAATAGCTTTAAATTCAGAATGTGCTGTCCACTTTAAGAGCGTACTTTACAACTCTCAAATTTTTAAGGGGTAAAATGACGTTTTCAAGAGCACTCCACATAAAATGAAGTGCAGAAACCGAAATGAAATAGGTTAATGTAGTGTAAACATAGTAAAGTAAATTGTCGAAATGAAAGTTCTAAAGAATTTTGCGTCAAAAAATATGTTTTTACAGGTTAAATAATATATGAAATTCAACCATTGTTACTAGATCGACAATAAGAAAATTAAAAGCTCATAAATACAATGTTGTTCAATTTTTTCACAATTTATTCCATTTTATTCTTTGTATTTATCAAGGTCGTTGAATTTTTTTTTTTGGAAAGTTCCATTAATAGTTTAAAATTCAAAACATGGCCATAAATACCAGAAATTTAAAAAAAATCGACTTACAATGGAATGCCGCGATTAACATGTCGAAACGTGTCCTTATCCTTCTTTCATCGGAAGCACATGCCCTATTAATCTCACGATCAAACTTTTGGGTGCCGATACACACTGCAAGCCAATTAAAAAACATCCTTAATTTGCAAATTCGTCTTATGTTTTCACAGATGTAAAATGGCCAACCCTGAAAAGCAGGTGTTACCCAGCGCGCTCACTTGTGATTCAACACCACTGCTCGCGCAAGCGGCAGACTGCTTCCAAGGTCGTTTCCTGCGAGGGGCAGGCGGGGAGGCAGCTGCTCCTCCTAGCAGCTCAAATAATAAAACTAATAACACTAAAATTAACTATATATGTCTAAACTACTAATACAATTTTCTCCGAATTTTAGTTTTATCTGTTGTTCATAATTGTAAGAAATTGATTCCGTCGTGATCAACCTTATCGCAACCGCTCATCTTCCATCCAACATGAGCTACTTCCCCTGCAGCTCTGTCCTCACGAATTTGAGAGCTCTTGTCTACTACGAAACAGGTCAGTTGTGTAATCATACGTGAAAGGTCGGTGCGGTAAAGTTGAAAGTCTTTCGGAATTTTTCAATGAGAAAATTATCGACACAAATAGGCACAAATTAAAGAACGGTGATTTTCGCGAACAAAAAACCAAAATGAGGCCATGACATGTGAATTTGATTCGCAAAACAACTCTTAAATATCTTCCTTACATAATTTAAATATATGCATATTGACGATATTCGTAATGGAAAAATGAACAAACTTTAATAGCAAAGAAATAAAATATCTCAAATAAAATGGAATTTTACAATAAGAAAAGCATTGATTGTACTGGGAATGGTCTGTTCCCACCGAATGTCATTTGACCTTGAGGAAACAACCGTCTACAACGTCAACTTCGCCGCTCGGCTTGCGAGGGCTGTCAAAAGTCTCTGTAGAAACAAAAAATAGGAAAATGTTGGAAAATTCCGAAATTTTTGAATTTTTGAATTAATTGGCCGCAGCCAAAATTTACATCGTGGTATCAGCAGGGCACGTAAATTCAATGAAAAAAATATGAAGGCATGTTTCGACATGCCACACTGCGGCACTCCCTTGTAAGATACTTGCACCTCTCTAACTGTTTATAATTTCGTTAAATAGCTGTTGGTTAATATGATCATAACACAATATAGGCAACATCTAGCTGTAAAGATCGATTTGGCTTATTTCCTAAAAATACTTAAGTTCCTATACGAAAATTGGGATTGAAAAAATTGTGACTATTTTGTCCTGATATCCTTTATGTAATATTTGCGTAAATGAAACGTGAGCGAGTACGAAAAGTGAAATTTATACTGAAATAAATACCTTGGAGGATATCCCATGGCGAGTCTCTCTTGAAAATCTTTTTCCTCACTTTCATACATTTCCTCTGTGCTGGGCAGAATAGAGGGTTTTCTGAGAGACTTCAAAAAGTATGCTACTTGATAATAAAAGAATGGAAAAGGAATGAAAATGAATGGTATTCCAACTAATGCCATTGTTGGATACTTGATGTTGATTAAGTGTCTGTACAGGTGTGTTATTCTTTTGCCTCTGACAGAGATTCCACATTCGGAATTTAAAAATGGCAAATCATACTTATAGCCCGTGCAGTACAATAGAGCATCAGCTTTAATAGACGAGCCATCTTCCAGAATGAAACCATCCGCTGTTGCTTCTTTGATACTTGTAACTTGCTGGATATTACTTGGCATTTTGTACTCAATCGGTGCCAAACTATGACTTAGATAAACTGTTTTTGCAACTGTCGCTATCTCTAACGACATATCCTTACCAGAGAACGAAGCCCCAAGAATCGCGACAGTTAGATCTTTATAACGTTCCGGATCTCTGTAATCATGACAATGCATTATATTCCCTTTGAATGCTTCAATCCCCATTATAGTTGGTATATACGGAGTTGAATTGTAGCCAGAGCAAATCATTACAGCATCATAAAATTTTACAAACACTTCTTTCGTTTTTAAATTTTGCAAAAGCACAGACCAAGCCTTATCAGAATCAGCAGCCCGTGGCGTCACTGCTTTTACAACAGTATTAAATTGAATATACTGATGAAGCTTAAAATGAGCAGCGAAATCCTGGAGGTACTGCAAGACAACTCGATGCGAGGGGTACGAGTTGTCGTCGGCTTCCGGAAACGGATAATCCGGGTAGCACATGACTTCCTGCAGGAAATTGGTGCGGAGGCTCTTGTACATGCTGGAGTGCACGGGCAGGCCGTGTTCGTCGGTGCCCGTGCGGTCGGTGTACAGCCACATGCCGCCCGGCTGGTCGGCCCTCTCGAACACGTCGAAGGCGAAGGCGGCGCGGTGCGCGGCCAGCTGCCGCGCCGCGCACAGCCCCGCCGGGCCCGCGCCCACCACGCACACGGACACACGCTCCTGTCGGGCCATGGACGCTCGCGAACGCTCTGCCACGGAGAGACGGTCGCCGTGCGCGGCACGCGGCTATTATCGCCCACTTGAGGCCTTTAAGCGACGGCAGCTGCACCGCGTCGCGCCGCGTCGCGCCGCGCCGCTGATAACGCCGCACTACCAATGGGGCCGCCTCGCCGCCTCGCCGCCGCGCCACGCCCCCTCGCGGAGGCCAGACCGCCCGCGGAGCGCCCCAGCCGAGGAGGCGCAGTGAGGGCGGGGGCTGGCGCCGGGGCAGCGGGGACCCGGGGCCGGTCGGGGCCACCCAGGGATCTTCTTCGTACTTGAGGATCCCTGAGTGAGTGATGCCCGTCGGAAAATGGGGCCCTCTCGTTAACTAAGGCCTTTCAGTAAGGACGCCTTCCCACGGCGCGACCGCGGCGCGCTTCCTTCAAGCAGCAGAGCCCTTCCGACGCAGCCACCGCCGGAGCTACGGCCGCACCGCCGCCCGCCGTGGAAGGGGGTGGGGTCTGGAGGGGAAACATACTCTCTGGGTGGGGTCTGGAGGGGTAGGTTTCGCCGACCTTCCGGCGACGACGAACAAAGGGGCCGGAGCAGGTAGAACGCTGCGGCCGTGGCGCAGTGGGAAGGCTCCTATTTAAAGCTGTGTTCTGCTAGAGGTGGCGCGTGCCTCCTCCTCCGCTTCTCGTAGCTGGAGTTTGGCGTCGGCTGCCGCAGCAGCCGCCACCCGCTGCACGTGGGAAGGCCTCCATTCAAACCAATGCTCTGCTACGCGCCGCGCTGCTGCGAAGCGCGCCGCGGTCGCGCCGTGGGAAGGGGCGCTAAAAGGAGTCCTTTCAGTGACTAGGGCCACTCGGTAAATAGGACCAATCTGTAATTGGGAATCACTAGGTCAATGGGGTACCTCGATAAATGGATTCACGGTTATGGATTAATGATTCCGGGTGCGTCAAGTGCTACTGTCATTCCGTGAAATGTATGTTTTATGGCGGGAGGTGGCTTCTTCGCTGGATGGTGAGATCCTGAGCCGACCTACACGTCGTCTAGCGGGGTTCTCCAACCTGGTTTTTCCCACCAGCGGGGCACCGCCCCTGTCGGGGCAAGCTCTAAGCTCCCGGTTTGCCTTCCTTCATATGTGGCAGTGTAGTTAATGCATGTAAATATGTGTACGTAAGGGGTGAGGAGAAGACAAAGAATGAGACGGAAAGATCGCTACCCCTGGCTCGTTTGTTTGGGTACTGCTGCGGCATTCGCCTGATGTTGGTCAGAAAAAACTACCGATCAGAGCAGCCGGCCTCTAGGAGTCTTCTCCAGACGTAGCTGAATTCGATGTAGCTCTCTAGCTAGAACCGAAAATTCTAACTCTGGCGCAACTCGACCTCTAGGACCTTGCGCTCATAGGCACTGCAGCTGATGCCCTGAGCCACCTAAGCCGGTGGATCCTCTAGTAAATAAATCCTCTTGATAAAGAGTAGGTGGAACTTTTCGATCAGCGAGGACCTCCTGTTGGTGGAGCGTCGTTAGTTGGGAATTATTGATGAATAAGTGTGACCTTGGAATAGGCACAATCGGCAGGTGGGGTCCGCTCCGCAATTCCAGGCGAATACCGGAGCATAACCCTAAAGAACGGGTCGTATACCCTTTCGCCATCCTTCCAGTTCCTGCCCCATCTAGTTTAGGCTTGTGCGCTCGCTCTGCGTAGAGCTGGGTGATGTGCATGACAGTGGCGGGTCATTGGGGTAGGCAAAATAGTCACTACCCGTGCGCGTACCCTGATGAAAGTGTAGTAGTTTAATTCATTTAATAATAATAAAAACAATTAAAATACTCTTACAATTTTAATATGGTGTAATTATTATTCATCTGGAAATGTATAGTGAACATTTCATTATTGTGGCACAAGCAATATTTTCATTTCAAGCGTTTTCTAACAGCCCGTGCGCGTTGTGGGTCTCAGGGTAAGCACGCCTGAGCGCTGCCTCGCTTCGCACCGTATTCCGAGAAAAGGCCCTGCAGTAAGCGTAGAGCAGTAGCATGCTGTGTCCATACTCGACGCATGCGCATTGTGCATAGGAAAGACTTCCCTTGCAGTCCAACCACACGGAAGACTCCCAGTTCCACTCATTTGCAAGTCGCTAAGCGTGTGTGTTTATTGCTTTGTCGACGAGTTAACAAGTGGAAAAAGTGATTATTATTAGGAAGTAGTTTTTCATTTTACATTAGAATGCCGCGGATTATTAGTGTTACTTATATATATATATATATATATATATATATAATATATATATATATATATATACCGATTTTTTTTGTTTTATAGATGTAGAAAAAAACAAATTTTGGATAAGGATCAACCTAATCCTATTTTGAGTACGGTTGTACATTGTGCTGGTGAAAAAATGCAAGAAAACAATGTGTGGAATGATTCACACAAATGGTTAACAGATAGTGAAGTTAAAGCTAAGCTTTATTGTTAGCCATGTCTTGTATTGCCAAATAAGGAGAGTATTTGGAATAAAAATGGATATTTTGACACGAAAAATTTATCAAAAACTATACAATAACATGTGGTATCAAAAGATCACATATGTAATTCGGTGAATCTTAAACGCCTGGAAACAAATTGATTACAATGTCTGAATTATTGACAGGGCAACACAAACTTTTTTAGGAACTAAATATCTTGAAATCACGTCTGCGCGTGTTTCATGGAAATAACGCTTGGAAAAGAAACAATGTCAATGACAATTGTTTTGAATAAATTGAATAACATTACCAAAAATAAAAAATGGATTGAGCTGGGACGTGCCCCCCTGCCCCCTTCCCGGGATCTGCCGCTGTTCAGTAATCTGTTTTCCCTACCCTGAACGTTTGTCTATGAGCCGCCACAAGTTCAGTATTGAGGCGTGGCATTTGCGTAGTCATCGCAAAATTTGCCGAGTGTCCGGGAGTGACTTTCCATAGGGATGGTGGTGGTAGTTGCAAAACTGTTGGGTGTTCTGTCTTATAAACATTCCAATAATCGCTTATGTCTCTAATGTGATATGTCCTATTTTCAAAATTGTTTAACAATTGTTGTAATTCATTATGGTTATTGCCAGTCAAAGAACGAGTGCCCATTTCACGCAGAAAATTCAAAAAGGGTGCACAGTCAACTGATAAGTCACTGGCTGCCATTTCAGTACTCCACATATCGAAAAGAGGTTATGTCATGGGATGTGATGAGTACATTATTCTAATAATCTCGTAAGTGGGATTGTTTACGGCTAAGAGTCGAGACGCTTGTCACGCATATGTGTATAAAACGACCGGCATCGTAAGCTGAAATGCTTCAGGTAGTATGTCCTTTAGACTGACTACGGCGATGTCCCACCAAAAATACTGTAAACGAATTAAGGTAAAATCTCTGTTCTTCAAGAACGTAAGAAAAAATTTGGCCTTTACCGGGCTAATTTTTCAATAAAAAAAGTTTAAACCAGGACAGTTTCTTATGGAAAAATTTTCGTGGGCATAGATGTATTTAAATAATTGAAGAAGTTATACTGTGAAAGTACCTTTTTACTACCCCGTATACGTACTACGTATATAGGAAGTAATATACGTACTATAGGTAAAGTTATGTAATGCTGCGGAAATCGATTTTGGGTTTTCGATGGAATTACACGTTTTAGGGTAACCTGATACCGAAAAAGTGTTTTTTTTCCTTTTTTCAAAACGTGTGTGTGTCTGTCTGTCTGTCTGTCTATCTGTCTGTCTGTCCGTCCGTCTAGTGTCTGTGACCACTATTCGAGTCGAATCTTTGAGATTTTTTAAAAAATCTTTAAAAGTTGGGGGTACTTTACATGAAGTCCCCTGGGCATTCTCAAAAACGGCTCTAAATTTTTTCTTTAAATTTCTTCTAAGAATAGAGTAACATAGACTTATAAAGGTGATATAGGTTCGATTTTCACGGTTACCTCTGAATTTTCGAAAATTTAAAAAGTATATTTTTTTTCGGTGTCTTTATACAACTATTAAATTGAAGATAGAGATTTTTCCTTCAAATAAAAATTGTTTTCCATTGTGAGTTCATTCGTTAAGGTCATGTACATTTGTTGAAAAGTTTAGTAGTTTTCGCGCAATATTGCTTGTAATATGTGCAATTAAAAAAAATACAAAATCAAGATTTTCACAATAACGACTCCAATTTTTTTCTTTTAACTTTTAGTAGGGATAATTCTAAATGTACTCTATAAGATGACATAAGCGCCATATTGCTCTATACTTCTTTTTTTCAAAAATTACAAAAATGTATTTTTTTACTTGCCTCTCATGTCGTTAATATTTATACTAGCGGCAATTTGATCACATTATTGTATTTATGAGTTCACGTGCTTTAACTAATATCCTGCAAAATTTCTCGAAAACTTTATAGTTTTCTGTGAAAACTAGCTCAAAACTCCGCATTTTCAGAAACGCTCATTTTCGGCTCCAATTTTTTTTCCAAACATTTCAAACGGATAGGGGTAATTGCACTCTTTGATATGACGTAAAGTAATTTCAGTGTTTTTTTTGTTTTTTTTCCAAAAATTACACAAATGTAAATTTTTTGAATGGGATTAGATTTTGAGTGGAATTAGAAAGGAAGTAAGAAAGGGCAAAACAAACAAACAAACAAACAAACAAACAAACAAATAAACAAATAAATAAATAAATAAATAAATAAATAAATAAATAAATAAATAAATAAATAAATTAAATTAAAAAATAAAATAAATAGAATAAAGTAAATAAATTAAATAAATAAAAGAAATAAATAAATAAATAAATAAATAAATAAAATAAATAAATAAATAAATAAATAAATAAATAAATAAATACATAAATACATAAATACATAAATAAATAAATAAATACATAAATAAATAAATAAATACATAAATAAATAAGAAAAATTAATAAATAATCGATCAAATAAATAATAGATCAAATAATAAATAGTAGATCAAATATTAAATAATAGATCAAATAATAAATAA